ATCCATGCCCGCTATGAACACGTTTTGACTTGTGAATAAGTGTGCAATGTTCTGTAATTTGCTTCACTAACTCATGGCACTAATCGTGTGTTTCAGGCGAGGTGTTTCTCTCAGGATTAGAAACTAGTTTTCCCCTCCGGGATAAAACGATAATATAACGTTAGCAATTAGCATGCTAGCTGGACATAATGCTACCTCTGTGGCTACACTGAATGCATAGAGGTAAACAATAGATTGTAGTTGCTATAATTTCAAGTAATTTGCAACATTCATTCTACATGTTAATGGTAAAAGCTTAAACAGTTGATTACCTGCATGCCACAAAGACTGATGTTCTAATATTTTTGCACATTTAAGTAGAAATGTAATTGAAATTCTATGTACTGCCTAAACATTGTTCCTTGTCATAGTATTATCCTAAATAGTTTGACCTTGTTTCCTCAGAAGGCTTCTCAGACTACATGGAGGATCCCTCAGAGAAACACAGTTTCCACGTTCAGTTCCCCCCCGCTGAGAGTAGGCAGCTCCACACCCTGCGCCCGGTCAGCGGACACCATCAGGACTACTATCTGATCACAGAGGATCCCATCCTGACCGCTGCTGCCATACTGGAGCAAACAGGAGGGAACGGAGGTGAAAACACACTTTATACATTTAGATATGTGGAGCACAAAGAAAAGTGTTGAGTTTAACTATAAAAATATTAGGTTCAACTAACCTAATACCGTTATATGAACTTTGCTGTGTTTTCAGCGTAGCTTTGTAAAGGTAACATTTAGCAGCTAAACTGTGGATAACAAGTAAACCACATTGGTTTGTTATTCAATATGGCCACCAAAAGCTTTTTGAATCATTACATGTCACTTGTTAGACGCTTTTATCCAAAGCTTACCTACTCAATACTGTGGGCAACAGGAGCACTTTGGGGTGAAGTGTCTCAGGGACACAACGACATGCTGACTGCAGTGGGGTTTGAACCTGTGCTCCCCTGATCCGAACACCAATGCACTTATCCACTGCGCGACACGCCTCCCTATCATGTCCTGAGAGCCCTCCATCCCCCAATTGCTAGTGCCTTCACCCATTTAAAATGTTAATAGTCAAATCAAAGGTGTTCCCCGTGTTCCTCCTGTTGTGTGCCTGCAGAGACAGACTCAGAGGTGAAGATCGCCCACAGTGATGACTCTGACGTGGGGGGCTCTCTGTTATGGGCTGCTCCCCTTCCGGTATTTGGACAATGTTGTGTCGTTGTTGCGATTAAACTGATCTTGTATCTTGCATATTTCACCTTAGGAAAGTGGGCACGCGATGACAGCTTCCTTGACACCATCATGGCGATGGACCGCCGTGCCATGGTCAGCAAGGAGAATGAGGACCTGCGTGCCAAGGAGATGCACGACGAACGGCTGCTGCATTCACCCAAGGCCCAGGAATCGAGGTGGAGCAACAAAATACCTTTCAGGCTGGGCTTCTGGCAGTGCTAAGCGAGCTGATTAAATCCAACAGGCCTTCAATACAAAAATTAAGAAAAACTTGTCGTTGATAAACTGTACAATGACTTGTTGAGAGGCGGGTGGTGCAGTGGTCTGGTGCGTTGGTGTTCGGATCAGGGGAGCACAGGTTCAAACCCCACTGCAGTCAGGATGTCGTTGTGTCCCTGGGCAAGACACTTCACCCCAAATTGCCTACACCTGGGACAGTTCATTTTGTATTATTGTGATTATATATATATGCCACTGTTATTAATACTGACACCTAATTTTGCACTAAGGTGTCTCTGTTGCTGAGCCTACCTATTATTATTATATATATATATATATATATATATATATATTGCCACTGTTATTATATTGTTTTGATACTGACACTTATTGATCTGCTGCTGATAAATAAAAGAGAACCTACATGCACGGCACTAGCATCATGACTGTCTTTGTTTAAACCAGCAGCAGTGCAGCGGTACACAGACTAACCTGTGTGTGTGTGTGTGTAACGTAGTTATTCAGGTGTGTATGCTTAACATGTATGTATTTATCACAGTAAAGATGGTATACAAACGCTTTTTAAAGAGCTTTCAACCTCATCCCATTGTCTTTAACACACATTTAACATAATAATATACTCATATTAATATCCAAATATACAGTATGAGTACTGTTTTGATACTGACATTTCATCTTTGCACTAAGATGTGTCTGCACTATTGTAATTGTGTCTGTTGACTGTGGTAAATAAAAGAGAGAACCAAAGCACTGTACAAAAGATCAGCTTTATTGTCAATTTACAATTTCCATGCTGTTCAGATGCCTCAAGGGCTGTGCGCGTGTCTTGCCCCGCGGCGATGTTTTTAGGTTGCGTGTCCCCAATGTTGCTTCCAGGCGAATACAGAGGAGTTGAAAAGATCCACTTTGATCCACTGCACATTGGTGTACACCAGGCCGAGGTTCTATTGTTCACCCAGAGAGAGCACGGGACACGACGCGTTCCGTAGTATTCGCATATCTGGAATACATACAAAGACACAAATTAGCCCTACATAACTCCATAAATCCTACATTAGATAGTATTAATGTGATTTAATGAACGTACCATTGCTGTTCTTTGGGCGTGATAACGATCATCATCCTCAGCTATCCTACGGCGAAACATGTCCATAGCGTGTGCTTTTCGTGGTCCAATCCTTTTATTAAGGCTTCTTAACCGCCTTCGCCTCCGACTCAGCATTTCTATTGCATTTGAATGGTCGATCTGTATTTGTATTTGTGGCTGAGTTATTGGCTTAAATAACTCAGTTACGAAGCTGTATAACACGACCACCAAAACGTCAACTCCATACCGTGTCTGAGGTCGGAAGGTAAACAGAAGCATACAGCGGAAGCGGAAGTTTTTCTTCTTCTTCTCTCGGTTTTTTGGCGAATTGCAACTTTAAGGTGCATACCGCCACCTACTGTACTCGCCGTGAAGTTGTTTGCGGCCTACCAGTAAACCCAAAGCAGAAGAAGAAGAAGTGACGTCAGCGGCTCATTTGCCTAATCCACCCCCAGGAACTCATTTTGGTGTGAACGCGATCTGCTTTAGTTCATCAGAACTAAAAGAGCTCTCATGAACTACTGTGGGAAAAGTACTTGGTGTGAACGCGCCTAGTGACTCTCAGTTTTTTAAGCAGGTTATTTACATGAAATGTAAAAGTGAGACAGTCACCAAGCCAGATACCAAGGTATTTGTAACAGGCAACCACTTCAAGTTGTATTCCTTGCGTAGTTACAATATCCAAAGCAGTCTCTGGTGTATTTTTAGCTATAGAAAAGAGCATTACCTTGGTTTTATCCACATTTAAAAGAAGCTTAAGCTCAGAGAGCTGAGCCTGAATAATGTTAAAAACAGCCTGTAATTTAACAACAGCCTCGTTAATCGAGGGACCTGCACAGTACATCACGGTATCGTCCGCATAAAAATGTAAGGTTGCTCCATCGACATTTTCACCTAAACTATTGATGTAGATGGAGAATAAAAGTGGACCTAAAACTGAACCTTGAGGAACACCATTAGTGATGTTTAACCACTCAGAAGACAGCCCATCGAACTTAACACATTGGGACCTTTCAGAGAGGTAGTCCACAAACCACCCTACTGCATGGCTGGATATGCCAATACTGAGTAGCCTCTGCTTTAAGATGTGATGATCGACGATATCAAACGCTTTGGAAAGGTCAATAAATAGAGCTGCACAACTCTGCTTATTATCTAAAATACTCGTAATATCATTCACCACTTTCATTGTGGCAGTGATGGTGCTATGTTGCTTTCTGAAGCCTGACTGATGTTTAGACAGGATGTCATTGTTACATAAAAACACCTTTACCTGTTCACTCACTAGGCTTTCAAGAACCTTAGCCAGAACTGACAATTTAGAGATTGGCCTATAATTATTTAATAAAGTGGCCTCCCCACCTTTTAGTAGAGGAAGGACATACGCTGACTTCCATATTTTTGGAATTGTGTTTGTGCTGAGGGAGAGGTTAAAAAGAGAAGTAAGAGGTGGAGCAATAAAATCTGCAGCTATCTTTAAAAGAAAGGCTCTACGTTGTCCGGGCCAGCCGGTTTCTTAGGATCTAGCTTGGTTAAGACTTCACGAACAACATTAACAGTAAAAGGAGTAAAACTGAAAGGGTTTTCCAGACCACATTGTTCAGAGTCACAGACTGTGGTGTTCACAGAAGCAGAGTTAGTGACAGAATCAAACAGAGAGCCACAGGACACAAAATGCTCATTAAAACAATTTAACATGGTGGCCCTGTCCGATATAGTGCCAGATGCTGTGGTAAGGCACGGAGGTAGCTCATTACGGATATCACCGGTGGATATCGATTTTATGGCTTTCCAGAATTTTCTAGGGTTGTTCAGGTTGTTTGTGGTAACTGACAGATAATACTGTACGTAGGCTTAGCACTTTTGATTTGAGATGTGAAGCTATTTCTTAGCTGCCTAAAGCGTAGCCATTCTATCTCTGAGCCTGATTTCCTAGCCTTTGCCCAGGCCTTGTTTCTCTCATGTAGGAGACTGGACAGTTCAGCAGAAAACCAAGGATTGTCTCGTCCCTTCACTCTAAATGTACGCAGGGGTGCATGTCTATCTATAATTTCCATAAAACCAAGATAAAAATAAGACCATGCAGTTTCAACATCAGCACACAGATCGATTTTTTCCCAATCAAAACCAAACAGATCATGTATATGTTGATAAGAGTATTAAAAACTTGAAAAATATTCTTCTAAGGTACATTTAGAACAGATAAGAAATGTGCGATTAATTTGCGATTAACTATGGACATCATGCGATTAATCGCGATTAAATATTTTAATCGACTGACAGCCCTAATATAAACATGTATTAACAGTTACATTTAAAAAACATTTTACTACCTCCACACACACATTTATCAACTTCTTTAAGGCTCCTGACAATAAAACTCTTGTTAGGGGTGTCAAGGAAAGACTAACCTCAATGTGGGACTGATGGCAACAGACCACACTCTGTCAGACATGGGGAAGGTGTCTCTGGGGTGGCTAGAAGTCAAAGTCCACATCTAGAGAAACAAACGTTTTCAGCAAGCACATTGAGTCGTGCATACATCACCAGACATATTGTGTTATCCATACCTTATCTGACCGGGGTCATGTTATGTTTTGCACATATACAGCAGAATTAATATTGATAAATGAAATCTGAGGAATTGTACAGTCACTCTTATAAAGCAATGAGGTTTCTGTCCTTCAGCCTTCCTCTTGCTGTAACAGTTATGGAATATAGACGTCACATAATGAGCAAATCAAACACATCTGACCCGGGCGGTTCGGTCTCTGGATCCGCTGACGATGAGTCCCCCTTTAGCGTCCAGGCAGTTGACCTCCTGGTTGTGACCTGATAACTCCAGACACGTGTCCCGGGCCCGGCTGTGAACCAGGATCCTGCCTTCACTGTAACAAAGATGTTTCAGGAAAATATCAGGAGCATGAAGACACTGCTCCTCTTCTTCTGACTTCCCTCACCAAATCTTATGTTATCTCATCAACAAGTCCCTGTGTGCTGACGATTCAGAATATCAGAATACCTTTATTTGTCCCACAGAGGGGAAATGTACAATTTACAATATGTGTACTTTTTACACCAGCTATGATGGAAAAGTTTTTTTTATACGATGCACCAAGAATGGTTTTCCATTAGCTAGAATTTAAGTATAGTCAAAATGTGCCAAAAATAATCTTAACTAGAGGTCCACTATCCTATTCTAGATTGACATGATGACAAGTAAACCAACTCTATGACAACTGTGGAAACTCAATTTACTAAAGACTAATCCTTGATGCGGTTTAAGGGCCAAAAAAATACTTAGCAAGTAGACCTTGAGTAAAGATGATTTGCTCTAACTACTCGTCCTTAGATTAAAAGCCCCCGCCGGCTAAATATAAGTATCATCACTGAGTTGTGTTCAATGGCATTAAAACGAGAAAAACGTGGCTGAAGGTTAATCCAATGTGTCTGGGTCACTTTTAAATGATTACTGAGAATCCATCATTCCATTTTTATGTCAATAAATGAGTTTTCATATATAGCTGCTGTGATAGCTACCAGAGTGTATGACAGCTTCCGGTTTTGGGTATTCTGGCTACGCATCACTCATTCACCAATGGGTAATGTTTAGATGGATTTTAGGAACTTCCCCTCGATTCTATTGGCTCTAACGGTTAAAAAGAGGTGTCAAAAGGTGGGAAAAGTACTCCGGTGTGAACGCGTTAATTTAGCGTGTTCACACCGGAGTACTTTTCCCACAATAGTTCATCAGAACTACGATATATTTGCGTTCACACCAAAAAGCCCCAGGAACTAAATTAGTTCATCAGAACCATTTTTACCCCGTTTTCAGTCCCTGCTAGAGAGCAGGGACTTTCGTGGGAGAAAAAGGTTCATATGTCTGATTGGTTGGGCGGAATGCAAACCACGCCCCGTAAATCTCTAAAAAAGTTTTGCTCGCCGCCATTGTTTTGCTTGCATTAAACTCAGCGCAGCGCACCAACGAAGAGATTACTTTTGTGAAAGCAGTTATTATGGCAACACTAAATAAATCATCGGAGCGGTGGAGTGATGAGGATGTGTCGGCGCTTCTGGCGATTTACTCGGAGGACGTGATCCAGAAGCTTCTACTGAAGGCAGTTTCCGTTGTTCAGCAAACTTAGCCGACCTGGGAACCGTCCACAGCGCAAAGTCATGCCGGGACGACGACGATGGTAAAATAAACTACATGCACTGCACTGTTTTAATCTGCACAATACTGGTCTCAGATGTACTTTTATTTGCTCAGTAGATCGAGCTAGCCATGCTAGCTGAACTGACTAACACTGTTAGCAGGCCGACTCCAAGCTGGCTAACAACATCTAGCTAGCTAGCTATTCTCAGCCGCTATGAAAACGTTTTGACTTGTGAATAAGTGTGCAATGTTCTGTAATTTGCTTCACTAACTCATGGCACTAATCGTGTGTTTCAGGCGAGGTGTTTCTCTCTGATTGGAAACTAATGAGCTTTCCCCTCCGGGATAAAATGAGATATAACGTTAGCAATTAGCATGCTAGCTGGACATAATGCTACACTGAATGAATAGAGGTAATTGTAGTTGCTATAATTTCATGTGTCATTTGCAACATTCATTCTACATGTTATACATGGTAAAAGCTTAAACAGTTGATTACCTGCATGCCACAAAGACTGATGTTCTAATATTTTGCACATTTAAGTAAAAATGTAATTGAAATTCATTTTATTTTTCCTTTTTTTGTATTGATTGTTATAATTGTACTCAGCCATGTTATGTTAGATGTCAATCCACTTACACTGTAACTACTCTGGCCTTGAAAGAAGGTTACACATCTAACTGATGTCCACTAATCCCTATAAAACAAAGTTAAAGCATACATTAAGCACAAAACAATAAATAAGGGCACTTTGATATTTATTTTTTATTTGATATTATTTGATCCTATTTTATCTTCTACTTTACACCTGCATTTTGTACACTGTCCCTGCCTGCACCATGTCCAATGTTGTCTCTGTTGACAACCTACTAGGCGATTAAACTGATCTTGTATCTTGCTTATTTCTCCTTAGGAAAGCGGGCACGGGATGACAGCTTCCTTGACACCATCATGGCGATGGACCGCCGTGCCACGGTCAGCAAGGAGAATGAGGACCTGCGTGCCAAGGAGATGCACGACGAACGGCTGCTGCATTCACACAAGGCCCAGGAATCGGACGACCAGCTGCTCATGGTGATGCCGCGCCATGCTGACTCGGCGGCGCGCCAGGTGGAGGTGTCGGCGCGCCAGGTGGAGCAACAAAATACCTTTCAGGCTGGGCTTCTGGCAGTGCTAAGCGAGCTGATTAAATCCAACAGGCCTTCAATAAAAAAAATTAAAAAAAATTGTCGTCGTTGATAAACTGTACAATGACTTGTTGGGAGGCGTGTGGCACAGGTTCAAACCCCACTGCAGTCAGCATGTCGTTGTGCCCAGGGGCAAGACACTTCACCCCAAATTGCCTACACCTGGGACAGTTAATTTTGTATTATTGTGATTATATATATGCCACTGTTATTAATACTGACACTTCACTTTGCACTAAGGTGTGTCTGCTGATGAGCTATTGTATATTGTTATTATATATATATTGCCACTCTTATATTGTTTTGATACTACTGACACTTTCTTTTATATTGAAAATGTTAACTTCTATTTACATTAAAACTTTTAACTTGTATTTACATGCATACGACACACCTGGGACAGCGTGATGCCGTTATTGATATTGTCTTGAGTGTGCAATAAAAGAGAACCTACATGGCGATTCAACAGATAATGTATCTTGCTTATTTCTCCTCTGACACTTTATCTTTACAGTGACCTGTGTAGCATCCTATACATCACATGTAAGTGATTATTCTGATACCATCATGTTTCATCGGTTATAAACTGGCGAAGCTTTATTTATTGTGTCCCACCCCAAATATGTGGCTTTGAAAAAAATAATTTCATTGTATTTCAAAATGGCGTCCATCAACACAAGCACTATTTATAGAAAGAGAAATGGTTAAGTTTGTAATTACCAGTGTTGTGAGTTCAATATTTTAATTAATTATAGTAAGGGAACATCTTGGGAGTTAGTGTAGTGAGTTTCAGAGCAGTGTAATAATGATTTGACCTAAAACTAAATGTTTTTATGAATGTCCTCTGAGGAGGACATGGGGATTTGGTAACTTTTGATTTCCCCCATTTTACACGACACAAATGGAGGCCACTATGGGCCAAAACTAACACGTAGGTTTCTGTAGGGTTCATGGCAGACGGATGCAGTTGCTCTCAGGAGGATATATAATAAAGGTGTGTTAGCTGCTGAGCCTATTTACTGTGCATACGACACACCTGGCACAGTTTATTAATTTCACACAGGTTACGCAATCCATAGCGCGTGCATGTCGTCGTCCAATCCTTTTGTCAATCCTTCTTAACCGCCTTCGCTTCCGAATCAGCATTGCTATTGCATTTGACTGGTCGACGATCTGTATTTGTGTTTGCTTAAATAACTCAGACGAAGCTCATGTCTGAGGTCGGAAGGTAAACAGACGCCTCATATACAGCAGGTGGGCGTGGCAGTATACGCGGGAGGTTCTTCTTCTCTCGGTTTTTTGGCGGATTGCAACTTTAAGGTGCATACCGCCACCTACTGTACTCGCCGTGAAGTTGTTTGCGGCCTGCCAGTAAACCCAAAGCAGAAGAAGAAGAAGTGACGTGAGCGGCTTCATTTGCCTAATCCACCCCCAGGAACTCATTTCGGTGTGAACCCGATCTGCTTTAGTTCATGAGAACTAAAAGAGTTCTCATGAACTAAAGTTCTCATGAACTATTGTGGGAAAAGTACTTGGTGTGAACGCGCCTAATCATCAAAATCGACCGAGGGGGGGCAAGAGATATGGAAAATCCACCCAAATGACCCAGAAGAGTTTTTTTTCTTTTGCTAAACCTCTCTAAAAAGATCAAATGTCACTTGTTTTGCATCAATCTTGATACAGGGTACTTATATGTATATTATAGTTTGGATTCCTAAAGCTTTTAGTCTACTATCCCATCATTCAAGGGTGGTTTTCACTATAAGTAATGTTTTTCTTTTTGGACGGACACTATAAAATGCTATATCAATTCTGACTTTTCTACATCCAACTCACAGGTTTATCATTGCTTTGAGAAAAAAGATTATTAATTTACCCCTTTTAGAAGTGAAGTTATAGTCATTTGTTCTGGGAATGTCATTTTCGAGCCTGAGACCTGGAAAACAGGCTTGGGGCTTAACAGGTTGTTAAGAGTGAATGTGAGATTATTTTATCCAATGGGTTGTTGGCACTTTACTCATGACTACCCAAAAAACCGCCTGTTAGGATGTTGGACATGTCCCTGTCCACCTTAGCTGAGGAATGTTAAATCTTTAGTTTGTTCCAGATAGCCTTGAATGTTTGTTGCTAATTGTACCAGTGTGATTAAGGTTGGGCAATATTGTCAGGGTTTAGAGCAGAGCGGACCAAAAATCAGACAGACAACTGTCCAAATGAAAAATACCTTTATTCAGGCAAGGCCAGGCGAAACAAAATTAACAAAACTCTATATTACCCACTCCCACATAAGACACACAAGGATCTGACAACTACCAACAGAAAACTAAAACAAAAATAAATATAGACTAATCACAAGGACAAGACACAGCTGGGGAGGGAAGGAAAAACACCAGGTGAACAGAATCAGGTAATCAAAGGGAGGGAAAACACAGACAGGAAGTAAAAACAGACATGACGCTTCTGGTTATGGCGCTGAGCTGAGAGGTTGACACTCCCCAGCACGGTTGCAATTCCTACTAAAATCCTATTCTAACTACTCAGAAC